TCCCCGACGAACCGACGTAAAAAGGACCTAAAATGTACGTCTTCAGTACCTACGTACTGTGTTTGTTGGGTAGGTCAATCGAATGTACGCCACTGGTATCACCCTGTTTCTGACAACCCCCTCAACCTTCCCTGTTAGTATGAATTTAATCTCATGTACAGTTTCTGAATATTTCTCATCTGATTATAAAATTTTGTTTATTTTCGTATGAATTTCCATTCGTAGGTCGGTCGAGTATACGCCACACTGGTGTCAGCCTGTTTCTGACAACCCGCTCAACCTTTCCTCTAATATGAATTTAATCCCATGTACAGTTTTTGAATAATTGTCATCTGATCATAAAATTTTGCATATTTTCGTATGAATATCCATTCGTAGGTAGATCGAGTATACGCCACTACTATCACCCTGTTCCTGACAACCCCCTCAACTTTCCCTGTTAGTATGAATTCAATCCTATGTACAATTTTTAAATAATCATACAGTTTTGTATATTTTCGTATGGTTCTCCATTCGTAGGTCGATCGATGAGTGTACGCCACTGGTATTTTCCTGTTTCTGACTACCCCCTCAACCTCTCCATGTTAGTATGAATTCAATCCTTTGTACAGTTTTTGAATAATCATACAGTTTTGTATATTTTCGTATGGTTCTCCATTCGTAGGTCTGTTGTAAAGTCAATATCAATTATCGTTGATTGTCCTTTACTTAGTTTAAGCCTTCATTTTAAGTCATAATTATATTTAAACATAAAACATTGTAATACATTTTATGCAACTTATTATATTCTATTTTCTAGTAAATGCTAAATGCTGAAGCAGCAAACCGTGGTTGCCACCTAAAAGTAGGTTACTTTATAATTTTAAACCATCATTTTGTCACGTGATTAGGTTGGCAACAAAACTGTTTGTCGCTAAGCAAGCAGCAGTAGTAGTAATGTTAATTTCCACATAACCATGTATTAATCTCTGCTACTCACGTCACACAATATACGCACAGTGGCTTCAGTATATTAATTTTCTCAACCAATTAAGTAATAAATTCTAGTAGTGATCTAAGGATTTAACTTGTTTTTTTTCTTGTTTACGCCGGATACGACCCAGAACCTTCTTCGCAAACCTCAAGTTTCAAAGTTGTGGAAACTCCACAACATAATTTGGTGTCAGGTGTGGGGTTAATCGATGGTTACTCGAGAAGAAGTGCAGTTCAGTTTGGTTCAAGCTATTCGGCAATAGTAACAAGAAAAGAATTGTTGAGTAAAAATTTTTTTTTTAGTCATCAGCCAAGAAAACGATCCAGTCATCAATCAAGAAAACGGTCCATTCTTTAGCCAAGAAAACAGAAGGTAATTTTGTACTGCGCGGATAGTTGAAGCTACTCCAGAGTCCGGTACTCTTGAATTTTGGTTCCCGAATTCCGCTCACCGTGGGATTCTTTTGGACTTTTTACCGATTTTTCGAGACTAGAATTTTACTGTAAGTTAACTGTGTCTGTATATTCATTTTTTTTTATTCTGTATATTTACCCTGTTATTTTATTTTATTTTTTGCCTTACAAAATGCTTTATAACTCTTAATGTCTGACGAAAGAAATTACGAAAATCACTCTGACGATTCTAGTGAGCCTGATAACTTGCTATACGAAAACGATTTATCTGTTTTAATAGTTGATGAAACTGGAATTGTCGAAAACATGCCTAATTTAAACGTTGATTTTGCTTTAAAATTAATTCCCGATTTTAACGGAGATAGAAAAGATTTTCACAAATTTGCCTCATGTTGTGATATTGTAAATGCTGATTTGACTCAAGTCGCAGATAAACAATTATTGGTTAGCATCATTAAATCTAAATTATCTGGTCCTGCCTATAATGTCGTCAAGCATAAAATCCTTGCAGACTGGGATGAACTTAAAATTACTCTTCAAGAACAGTTTTTAGAGACTAGAAGTATTGCTCAACTACAGTCTGAATTGATTAGAGCTAAACAACAACCTGGTGAATCAGTTAGGGCGTTTGCTAATAAAATAGAACAGCTTTTAAATGATCTTAATGATGCTTGTATAGCTTCTGAAGGCGTTGCAGCATCAGCAACAATCAATAACTTAAATTCAAAAACCGCATTTAAATCTTTTGTCGAAGGCCTAAACAATCTTTAAAATTAATAATCAAAGCTTCCAGATTCACTAAATTGAGTGACGCTATTGAAGCAGCAGTCGAAGAAGAGCGAAATCTTAACGAAAACTTTAATCAGCACAAAAACAAAAATAAACCATTCAAAAAATGTAATTACTGTAAAAAAAATGGACATGTCGAAAACGAGTGCTTTATTAAGAATCGTTCCTCTTCTTCTCAACAGCTTCCTACATTTCCGAAGCGAGAAATTAAAACCGAGGTTCATGTTACCAATATAACTTGTGCATATTGCAAAAAACATGGTCATCATATCAAAGATTGTTTCAAGAAAAAAAGAGCCGATGAATTTAAAAACAATCCTAATCGAAACGCTAGAAATTCTGCAAATCCTAATAATTACAGCCAGGGAAACTTCCAAGCACCAGTTGCGAGCAGCGGCGACGCAACGACGGTGACCCAATTGTAAATTGCCGTCCTATAAAATCATTCAATCTTTCAGAAAGTTCTGTCAAAATACATAATGTGTTGCAAAATCCTCAATCTTGTAGTCCTAAAAAAATTACTTGTCCTCTTGTTCCAAAATCCTATACAAGTAAATATCCTATTCCTAATAATTCTTATACTACAAGCAATCCTTATTTAAATGAAGCAACCATTCCTGAAACCAATATCCTTTGTGTAAATCCTTGCGTCATTGAAGAAGCAGATAGCATTCATATGCCCTTTTCTTTAGCTAACAATGACGAAGTTAATCTTTTAATTGATACTGGTTCTCAAATTACAATTTTAAAAAAATCTTGCATTAAAGGAAACGCCATATGCTATACCGACTATAAGGCATATCTTAAAGGCATTTCCGATTCTTTAATTGCTACTTACGGAATCTGTTATGGGGAGTTTAAAATTGGAGGAGTCAATATTACTCACCCTGTACATTTAGTAAAAGATAATTTTCCTATACCGCAAGATGGCATACTTGGAAAGGATTTTCTTATAAAATACAAGGCTAATATCGATTACAACAATAATACCTTATCTCTTTCCTATGAAAATAAAATAATTCCTTTACCATTTGACACATCAAAAAATAAAACCATTATTAAAATTCCTGCTAGAAGCGAAGTCATACAAAAGGTTAAAACTTCTCATGTTCATGAATCTTTATGCCTATCAGCAGAAATATGCGAAGGTGTTTATGTGGGTAACTCTATTATTAAACCAGTTCATGGTTATTGTTTTATCACATTTATAAATACTAATGAAAAATCTGTCACACTCGAAAATCCTCAATTGAGTTTTGAAAATCTTGAACTTTACGATGTTCTTTCAATAAATAAAACTCCTTGCAATCTCGATCGTCTTAATCTGCTTACCAATTCGATTCGGACGTCTCATATGTCTAGCGACGAGCGTGAAAGTATTCTTGAAATTTGTAAATCGTTCCATGAAATTTTCTTTCTTGATTCCGACGTTTTATCTTGTACTGAAACAATTACGCATTCTATTCCTACCACAGATGATATTCCTATCAATGTTAGACCCTATCGTCTGCCGTATCACCAACAGGAAGAAGTCAAACGTCAAATTGACAAAATGCTCAAAGATGATATAATTTCTGAATCCTCGTCTGCTTATAATTCTCCTTTATTGGTTGTACCCAAGAAACCTGATATTCATGGTAATCGTAAATGGCGCGTAGTCGTAGATTTTCGTAAACTTAACGACAAAACCCTTTCTGAAGTTTTTCCGTTGCCCAATATAACAGAAATTTTGGATCAGCTCGGAAACTCTAAATTTTTCTCTACACTCGATCTTGCTTCTGGTTATCATCAGGTCCGTACCGACCCAAAAGACAAACACAAAACTGCTTTTAGTACGTCTAATAATCATTACGAGTTCAATCGTATGCCCTTTGGTCTAAAAGGAGCCCCCTTTACATTTACAAAATTAATGAACAGTGTCTTGCTAGGATTTCAAGGAATTAAGTGTTTTGTGTACCTTGATGATGTAATTATATATGGTAAAACTCTCGAGGATCACAACTCCAAACTCAAGGATGTTTTCAATAGGTTTCGACTTCATAACCTTCAATTGCAGCCAGAAAAATGCGAATTTCTTCGCCCTGAGCTTACCTATTTGGGTCATACAATAACTGCCGATGGTATCAAACCGGATGAAAATAAAATTAAAGCCATTAAAGAATTTCCTACTCCTAAATCTCCAACTGAAATCAAACAGTTCATGGGGTTAGCTGGTTACTATAGAAGACACATACAAAACTTTGCAAAAATTGCCCAACCCATGAATAATTTGCTCAAGAAAAACATTTCTTTCCATTGGTCTCCTCTTTGTGTAGAATCTTTCGAAACTCTCAAGGAAAAACTGTGTAATCCTCCGGTCCTGCAGTACCCCGATTTTTCGAAGGAATTTATTCTCACTTGTGATGCAAGCAATTTTTCTGTAGGAGCAGTACTTTCACAAGGGACAGTTGGCTCAGACCGTCCCATTGCTTTCGCATCCCGGACATTGAATAAAGCAGAGCGAAACTATAGTGTCATTGAAAAGGAACTATTAGCCATAACCTGGGGAGTCAAGCATTACAGAGCCTATCTATATGGCCGTAAATTTTTGATTGTCACCGATCACAAACCTTTAATATGGTTATTTTCCGTGAAAGACCCAGGAAGTAGGTTAATGAAATTTCGTCTTAAACTCGAAGAATACGAGTACGAAATAATCCATAAGCCCGGCAAATATAATACAAATGCCGATGCATTAAGTCGAATCGTATACGACGTGAATCCAGTAAGCACACGAAACAAAAATTACGATCTTAATCAATTAACCTTTGAAAACTTTCTCATAGAAAAGGAGTCCTCCATAATCATTAATAATAATATAAAAGATTCACACAAAAATATTTCTGATTCCAACCCTGAATATTTGCGTGCCTATTTCATAAGTAAAGACAATTCGCAACTTCCCGATGACCTTAACGACGAAGCAAAATGCAAGTTGCAATCGGACACCTTAATCGTTTTAACACCGACTCTTATTACAATAAATAACATTAATTATGTTTTTATTCCAACGCATGAACCTAATACTATTGTAACGAATGAAATAATTTTCGAAGCAATTAAATGTTTGAAATCTTTTGCACATACAGGTGATTACCATAAAATAGCCTTTTCTAATCCTACGAAATATTCTCCGTATAAAAGTTTACAAATCGAAAACATTCGCATTATGTTCAGATATATATTTCGTGGTAATTCAGATTTGGTAGAAATTCATCATAATAATCTAATGAAAATTAAATCTAAGGATGAAATTCGTAAAATCCTAAAAGAATTCCATGATTCTCCACTGGGAGGTCATTTAGGCGTCAATAAGACCTTTAATAGAATAAGAAGTAAGTATAAATGGTCTAATCAATATAAAAGTGTTAAAAATTTTGTAAAATCTTGCGATTTATGCCAAAGGAATAAATCATCAAAATACACAAAGATGCCATTAACTGTCACCACTACAGCCTCCAAACCTTTTGAAAAGGTAAGCCTTGATATCGTGGGACCTCTGTCCGTAACAAATTCCCGAAACAAATATATTCTAACATTTCAAGATGAACTAACAAAATTTTGTGAAGCTGTACCTCTTGAAAATCAAGAAGCCGAAACCATTGCAGAAAAATTCGTTTCACACATCATTTGTAGACACGGTACTCCAACTTATCTTTTAACGGATCAAGGTCAAAACTTTTTAAGCGAATTATTTAAAAATGTCTGTAAATTATTAAAAATTACAAAAATTCAAACAACCGCTTTCAGACCTCAAAGCAATGGCAGTCTTGAAAGGTCACATAAAAGTCTAGGCGAATATTTACGAAATTTCGTCACAAAGGATCAATTAGATTGGGATACATGGATCCCTTATGCAATTTTTACTTATAATACTTCCATTCATTCCGCCACAAACTTTACTCCTTTTGAACTTCTTTATGGGTTCCCTGCGGAAATTCCTAATTCTTTACAAAAGCCTCCTGAATTAAACTACAACTATGACGATTATGCGAACGAGCTAAAAAGTCGCTTGCAACATAGTTATGAATTGGCTAAACAAAATCTTATCAATTCTAAAGAAAAATCGAAAACCACTTATGACCAAACTATTAATCCAGTCACTTTTAAGGAGGGTGAGATGGTATTACTTAAAAACCAATCAAACGCAAAAGGGAAATGTAAAAAACTAGAACCAATTTGGAATGGCCCCTATAAAGTAATTAAAGCAAATTCAGAAATAAATTCAACAATTTTAGTCAAAAATAAACATCAAAAGGTTCATAATAACCGATTAAAATTATATAACTCAAGGTAGTCATTTTATTCTTGTTTCAGATGAAAGCCTTACTAGCAATTCTTTCCATTTCATTCGCATGCATACTGGGCGATACAAAAACGAAATTTTTCACCTTGCAGGCAGTCAACAAAAGTGCTGGTATCCTGTACGAATCTTTTGATACAGTTCATTTAGAAACTAGTTCATGGAAGTTGATTAATTCTATAGATTTAGAAAATTATTATGACCTCTACGATAATTTTATTTTTAGTTATAAAAAAATGGTAGAACTTTGCGATTTGAGAGATTCTCAAAAGGAATATTTAAAACCTTGCATTATGGCAAAGAGCCTATTTAATCGGATAAGTCGTGTTCTTCACCGTGTTCAAGATAATAACAGTATAATTGGAGAAATTCTAAATAGCCAGCAATTTTTAAATCGAACCAAACGAGGTTTAGTCAATGCCGTAGGCAATGTTGCAAAGGTTTTGTTTGGAACCTTAGATGAAAATGATGCTAAACATTTCAACGAAATTCTCCAAAAACTGGAAACAAGTCAGATAAATATGCAACACTTACTGTCAGAACAAACAAGTATTTTTGAAAATACCATTCTATCTCTCAACTCATCAAATCAAGCAAATAAACAAATTTTTGAAAATTTAAACGGAAAAGTCAATCAAATTGAAACTTTCATCAATGATCACATAAAAGGTGTTATTGATAATATCACTTCATATGAAAATTTTGCATTACAGTTCTCTGAGTATTTTTCTCTATTCGAACTGGTCTCCGAACAGTTCCAGTTTTACCAAAGTGATCTATTAAACATAATTTTGTATGCTCAAAATGGTATTTTACATCCTTTAGTCCTAAGTCCAAAAAGGCTCATAAACCATTTAGTTAAGCAAAGCATGTATTTACCAAAAGGGTTATCATTTCCTGTACCTCTTTATCATCATTATTCTCATGACCTGTATAAAACAATGCATCCAAATGTGTTTTACTCAAATTATAAATTGTACTTTATTTTATACATACCCCTTGTAAGTGATATTTCGTACAATATCGTTAAGATGACAAGTTTACCTATAAAAGTGAATAATGATAAACATTCTCATATATTCTCATTTATTTCATCAGAACACCATTACTTAGTAATAGATAGTCTTAAGCGAAACTATTTTTTTCTTGATAACAATGATTTGAAAGATTGTTCAAGAATAGATAATAAGTACGTTTGTAAAGAAAAATATCCCTTGTTCCTTTTACCAATACATAATGATTGTGAGGCACTGTTGTACACTCATCCTCAGAAAATTCCTGAGTCTTGTGAAAAACGAGTTAGTGCCATTCATAAAACAATTTTTATCAAAATTCTGAAAATAAATTCTTGGATTTTTGTTAGTCCAAACGATGAAACTCTCACAATAAAGTGTCAAAATTTTGAAGACTCTATTCGTTTAAACAATTCAGGCATTTTAGAACTTGCACCGCACTGTATCGCTTTTACAAGTTCTGTCACGCTAAAGCCAATTGATACCAAAGAAGCAAATGAGTCATTCATAAACACAATTTATTTTCAAAATCTTGACATTAAAAATGAAATCAATAATCAAGATCTTCGTTTCAGTTTCATGGAAACTTTGTCCTTGAATAAAAGTATTTTAGTACTTCCTGATCAAAATGAAAAATTAGCAAAAATTAGTTATTCCATCGATGTATTAAAAGCAAATTAACAAAAGATGTTAAACCAAAAATCTATTGATTTTAACCATATTCATCATTATATTCTAGTATATTTAGTAGTGTTTTTAATTGTAAGTTACGTAGGTTTTAAGAAATATAAAACAATGTGCGTTAATCAAGATAAAAGGAAATGTGAAACTCCAAGTGCAACCGCTGAAAGGATCTGTTTAACAACGCGAGTGCCGCGAATAGACAAAACCGCTGACGTCCAGTTTAACGAAATAGCTGATAGTAATTCCAAAGTTTGTAATTCTAATCTTAGTGAAATTCGTAACCCCAGTTACAAATTTCATTCTTAGGAGGGACGGATGTTGTAAAGTCAATATCAATTATCGTTGATTGTCCTTTACTTAGTTTAAGCCTTCATTTTAAGTCATAATTATATTTAAACATAAAACATTGTAATACATTTTATGCAACTTATTATATTCTATTTTCTAGTAAATGCTAAAGGCTGAAGCAGCAAACCGTGGTTGCCACCTAAAAGTAGGTTACTTTATAATTTTAAACCATCATTTTGTCACGTGATTAGGTTGGCAACAAAACTGTTTGTCGCTAAGCAAGCAGCAGTAGTAGTAATGTTAATTTCCACATAACCATGTATTAATCTCTGCTACTCACGTCACACAATATACGCACAGTGGCTTCAGTATATTAATTTTCTCAACCAATTAAGTAATAAATTCTAGTAGTGATGATCTAAGGATTTAACTTGTTTTTTTTCTTGTTTACGCCGGATACGACCCAGAACCTTCTTCGCAAACCTCAAGTTTCAAAGTTGTGGAAACGCCACAACAGGTCGATCGAGTGTACGCCACTGGTATTTTCCTGTTTCAGACTATCCCCTCAACCTTTCCATGTTAGTATGAATTCAATCGAAGTGTACGCCACTGGTATTGTCCTGTTTCTGACTACCCCCTCAACCTTTCCATGTTAGTATGAATTCAATCCTATTATCTATTCACAATCCGATGTCCAAAGGTAAAGGTAAAATTTATCACCTTTCAGTGCTATTTGATAGGAAAAGGTGATAAATTTACCTTTACCTTTGGACTACGAATTGTGAATAGGATATATGTACAGTGGGAATCATTGCAATTGGCACACACTATACAGGGTGACCCAGAATATGTGGGCAATCTCTCGGATTCAGATAGAACACAAAAAAATAACATAACTTCCTATAAAAAAAAATTCCTACGGCCCCCCCTAGGAAGTTACGTGCCCCTAAAGGACGCCTCTGAAAATCGGTTTTTTGTTGATAACTTTCAAAATACTTTGTGGAATTTTTTTTCTTTCAATATTATGGATAGGTATAGGTACTAGATAAGACTCCTTAAAATGGACCCTCTCAAACACACTTGACCAATCTACTTTATCAGGGACGGACTAGCTTAAACGCAATAATGCCACTAAGGAAATATTAGTAGAAAGGATTAATTTTCACTGTCGCGAAATAAGGGCTTATATTGAAGCATTGTCGAGAGTAGAACAATCTTTCATTAAAATAGACATGGGCTGCGTTCAGGAATGGCTACAGCCAAGCCAAAATTGGCATTTTGCGTTCGAATTCGGCTTCAACCTACGTGGTTCGGCATTACCGGTGGAGGGGGAAAAGTAGGTTTTGGCATTAGCATTGCTGTCCTTGAACGCACCCATGGAATGCATAAGATTAGAAGGATCTCATGTTGAGTCGACATAAGAAATTATTTAATGAAAAACCATTAATACACAAAAACAGATTTTTCTCGAAACCAGCTCATTTTTTCGACATCTTACCTTTTTTCTATTTCAAGGTTGAAACTATCTATACTTTATTTTTTTCCAAGATAGATTTTGACAATGAAAACTTTGAAACATAAACAATAACGCTTGACCCTGATTGGTCGCAAAATGAGGTGTTTCTGCAGGTTGACATCAGTTTTACAATAGCGGCCAATAAGTGGCATTAGCGGCATTATTTATGTTTCAAAGTTGACAATGTCAAAATCTATCTTGGAAAAAAATAAAGTATAAAAATATTATTGCTATGCCTATATCATACAGGGTGTGAAAAAAGTTAGCATTATTGTATTAAAGCTAGTCCGTCCCTGGCAAACTAGATTGGCCAAGTGTGTTAAAAAGGGTCCATTTTAAGGGGTCTTTTCTAGTATCCATCATATTAAAAGAAAAAAAAATTACACGAAGTATTTTGAAAGTTATCAACAAAAAACCGATTTTCAGAGGCGTCCTTTAGGGACGCGTAACTTCGTAGGGGGGCCGTAGGAATTTTTTTTTCATGGGAAGTTGTCATGTTATTTTTTTGTATTCTATCTGATACCGAGAGATTGCCGACATATTCTGTGACACCCTGTATAAATATCCCTCGTAATGTGTCAAATCTGACACACAGTAATAGCAAAATGCTGCACTAAATAGATTTATTGGTTATAATTTTGACTTAATACGAGGGATTTTAAAGAGTGTTTGCCAATTGCAATGATTCCGACTTTACAGTTTTTGACTAATCATACAGTTTTGTATATTTTCGTATGGTTCTACATTCGTAGGTCCATCGAGTGTGCGCCACTGGTATTTTCCTGTTTCTGACTACCTCCTCAACCTTTCCATGTTAGTATGAATTCAATCATATGTACAGTTTTGGAATAATCATAGGTACAGGGTCATTTTTTATATTTTCCCACCCCCCTTAACTTTTTTGTGCCACCGTGTATAAAAAAAATGCAAATGGGAGAGGTGTAGTGCTTGAAAAATAGTTCTCAGAAAACATAGTTTTGTTCATACAGGGTGATGCAACTGGTTTAAGTAATGTCACCATGATGTCATAATTTCTCGGCGCGAGAAAATGGTTTGAAAACGTGGATTGAATTGAATTGTATTTCGAAACGGTATGAACCAATTTTGACGTGACGACATTGGTTTATCGCGAGAATGTACTGTTTCCAAACAGTTTTGAACCAGTTTCAAAAAAGTGGCCACGAGAAAACGCCTTTGATGAAGGGGTAACAATGATCTGAGATTCTTATTCTACTGCTATATTTATTGTATAAAGTGAATTGTCGAAATCCTAGAGCAAGATGAAGCAGAATTCTTCCAATCTTGAGTATTTTTTTGAACCAACAACCACGTTTTCGAACGTACTTGGCGTTCCTTCGAATAATCGCGAACGTCGAGCTCTTCGGGCAAACGGAGCAAACTGGGCGAGAGTGACGCATTGGCCGTTTTCGATTCACAACCGTTCGGCCGGTTATGACAAGTTTGTTGACAGCTTTTGAATTTGGTCTGTCAAGGAAGACACCATTTTTTAAAATTATAAAAACAAACGAAAATTCAAACCGAAATTCGAACCAACTCGCGCGAAGAGTTCGAATTTAGATTAAACTTCATCCTCAGTTGAGCGAAATTCGCTCTTTTTGTGACTTTGCTTCCAATTTGACGTTTTATGCGTCTATCAAACGTCAAATTGTCGAAGAAATGTCAAAACAAGAGCGAATTTCGCGCAAGTGAGAATGAGGCATAAAGCCTATAGTTGCCCTAGTTCTCATAACCGCGAATTGCGGATTTTTTTCTATTGGTCTATTATATTTAAATTTGACAGGTTTAAATATATTTGACCAATAAAAAAAAATCCGCAATTCGCGGTTATGAGTACTAGGCTTTAGACGGACTAAGCGATGCCTTTCACCTCAGCGGTTTGCAATCGAAACCGGTTGGTTCTAATTTGGTTGGCCTTGAAGACGAACCGACGCGAATCGAAAACAGCCATTGGGTGACGTCTGTTGTTACTCTACACGATTCGCTCGGCTCTTCTCTATTATCCTTGCGTTCGGTATTTTGCTCAAGGAGCAGAGCGTGCTGAGCAGAGCCGTAATCACGTAACCAGCGTGCGAACAGAGCAGTTGAACGCTGTATCCGCGTGCCCGAAATTTTAAGTACGCGAATGAGCCTGCACGGAGAAAACTTAAAAAAAAAACGAACGGTAAATTCAAGCTAGAAGAACTCCGGACACTCAGGTCAAAATACCGAACGTACGTATATTTGCTCCATTCTTTTGGTCCATCCCAGAAATGAATTGCCACTGACACAGAACAGGATTAAATCTGAACTGAACGACTTTGGAGTTTGAAAGACAGAACTAGTTCAGTTCAGTTCGATTATTGAATTTGAACGCACCTCCGTGACTGGTCCTGTCTGGGCCTGTGTATCTTCTGCTCTCACTTCATCTTTCTTGCATATGAGATAGACATAACTCAATAATTTTTTGCATTTTCAAAACAAATATCTCACTCACCCATCTGTTTTTATTTATAAAATGAAAATGAAATTTGATCATGAAATTCCATAAAAAGAAAATCTTTTTAACCTATATCTACACTTGAGAAAAATACGCATTTCCAGTTTAGGTTCAAATAAAAAATTTATTATATTAAAAACAATGGGTAAGAAACTACAGAATAACAGCACGAACAAATCAAGAGTTTCCAATAAGAAACCGAAACCTTCTAAGGAAGAAAAGGAACTTTTGGAGACCGTCGATAGCCTTTTGAGACTTACTACTTTTCCCATACATAACAATGTAGCACAGTCATTGGATTGTCAGAAACAAATTAATTCGTTTATTGAAAGAATCAGAGTTTTGGAGGAGAAATTATCCAAAAAGCAAAATAAAGTAAGTTTAATAATTGTACACCTGAAAGAAGCCCATTATTATTAACCCACCCATACCAATGTCATTCATTGCCTATACCCGAGCCCATACCCTACGCTAGTCTGTACTATGTGCACTAAGATTTCCTAATGACATCAATTTTTTATTTGTACCTATATTGTATTTCCTAATAATATAGCTTCATGTATTTTCTGCTCGATTTTCTGCTTATTAAAATAAACAAAGAATTAAACCAATTTTTCTTCAGTAATAGTAATACTCAGATGGTTTATTTTTTTAGTCCTCAGATAGTAAAACAACACCAGTTCGCCATAGCAAAGAAAACATTGAAACATTCACAGGATGGCTGAAAGAAAATAATGCTGAACTAAATGGATGCTCTATTTCAGTATTTGATGGCTACGATCTGGGTATCAAAGTGGATAAAGACATTTCTCAAAGTTCACTAGTCATAGCTGTTCCAAGGAAAATTACAATGTCTGTTGAGAGTGCTAGGAAAAGTATTGTGCAAGATTTAGTAAATAAGGTATAAAATGTTCATGTTTTCCAAACTTTAGTCCAATTGCCATTTGGTATTTCAGGTGGATATATTGAAAAACATGCCAAATGTCCTCTTAGCAGTCTATCTACTTGTGGAGAAATTTTCAGAAACCTCCTTTTGGAAGCCCTACTTGGATATCTTGCCAAAAACTTACACTACTGTTCTCTATTTTACATTAAGCGAACTTGAAGAACTTAAGGGAAGTCCAACATTGGAAGTTGCTCTCAAGCAAATAAGGAGCATCGTTAGACAATATGCATATTTCCATAAGTTGTTTTGGGCTTCAGAGGATCCTGTCAGTGAATTGATGAAGAACAAATTCACTTTCAGTGAATATTGGTAAGTAATAACATATCCTATGACCGGGTTTATTGCTATGGTGACTTCAATCTACGAAATGTAAAGTAGCTAAACTATAGCAATGAGAACAATCCAGTATTTTAACTAATTCTATGGAATTTCTACACTTATATCAAGTTAATAACATTACAAATGCTACAGGTAGTCTTCTTGATTTGATTTAATCAAATGAACTTTTTTGAAAAAAGGTAGCAGATGATGCTTTGTTACCTTGTGACAAATATCACCCAGCCCTTTTGTTCAGGTGTAAGAATGTATCTGATTTTATAACTACACAGTATGAGTATGATACGAATTACTATGATTTTAAAAACACTCCTAATTATACAGAGTGTCTGGAAAGTCAACGATAATACTGAAAGGGCTGATGGAGCAACTCATTAGCATCCAGAAAAACATAATATGACCTTTAACACTCACTTTAATAAAATTCGTTAAAATCGTTGGATCAAATTTTCGAGTGTCGCCTTAAAATTTTCATTATTCTTAGATTCTGAATTCAGTTTTGCAATCGTGAATAGACATTTCATTTATCATAGATCAACATTACAAGTAAAAGTTCAAAACATTTAAACTTGAGCGATGGAAAATAAAAATAAGCCATACTACACTTTAAAAAGATTTTTTAGATAGATAGGTAGATAGATTTCTTTATTCGATCAATATGTTTACAATTACAATTACAAATTGGTAGAGAACATTTTACCCAGCCAGAGGGTGTTGATCATGTCATTATTTACAATACACAATAAAAAAAAAAATTTGTACTTAAATCTTAAAAAACATTTAGTACAAAATAAAATAAATAAACACATACTTACATCTAAGATAAAAAAAAAAAGTAAAAAAACAAACAAGTACACCTCACGAACAAATAATTAGAGTCTGGTCATTCCAACTACTTCCAGGGTCAGCACAGGGAGTGCCATGTTTATCTAGGCAATTAGTAAAATTTTATGCTTTGCTAGAAAGAAAACAATTTTAAAAAAAAATCTAACTCAAATCTTTCACTTCTTGATCAGTAAAAAAATCGTTCAGACTGTAATAGGCTTTTGAGCTCAGAAATGTTTTTTTTTTGCAGTTGATAACCCTTGATGGTAGCATACGGAGTGAGGGAGGCAAAACATTCCAGACTTTGAGAATGTTGTGTTTAACATTTTTAAGAATGTATGTAAAGTGAGCAGTTTCAGTTCTAAGATTGTCTTTGAATCTAGTACCATGACAATGATTAGATTTTAGTTTGTCAAAGATATCTGGATTTTCTGATATAAATTTGATACTCTCTGTAATGTACAAGTTAAAAATTCTCGGAAAGAGACTTTTACAGCTGTCTGTATTTTTTTTTCTGGAATATTGTTCTCAGGCATCTTTTCTGAAGCAGGAGAACTCTCTCTGCCTCCGCCACTCCGCCCCAGAAGATCACCCCATACCTCACTCTCGATTGCACATAGGCATGGCAAGCTGTCAGTGCAGCCGAGCACCCTGCCATGTCCCTGACCACTCGCAGTGCATAGCAGTACCTACTCATACTCTTTGCTAGTTGGTCGATGTGAGCATGCCAGTCTAGTCTTTCATCCAGCACCATCCCCAGAAATGTCACATTATCTTTAGTTGATAGTGTAGTAGTGCCATTGTAGTCTATGTTTGTCTTGTCAGGTCTTAAGTTAAAATTTATAATTTGGGTCTTTTCTACATTCAGTTGAAGGTTATTATCAGTGAACCAATTTTGAAGTACCAAAAGTGATTCTTGGACATTTTGTTCGCAAGCCTCTTTGGTTTTTTCGCAGCAGATGACTGTAGTGTCATCAGCAAAGAGTACGACCTCATTATTTAGGATGTCAGCAACCTCATTGGTGTAAATTAGGTAAAGTAAAGGGCCGAGAATCGAACCCTGGGGAACGCCTTTTTTGATTGTTGAAAAATTTGATTTTATTGTCTCGCCCTGCTTGTTTTGTGCAACAACACATTGTTTTCGGTTAGATAAGTATGATACTATTAATTTTAGTGCAGTGTTGCATATGCCAATTTTCTCAAGCTTTCGGCAGAGCAGTCCGTGGTCCACACTGTCGAAAGCTTTAGAAAGGTCTAGGCAAACTGCCATGGTGATGTTGTTTTGGTTGCGAGACTCCAGGATCCGATCCAAAGCCATGTAGATAGCCCTTATCGTCGATTTGCCTTTCCTGAAACCATTTTGTTTTTCAGTGAGTAATGCATTTTCCTCAAGAAATTTGAAAAGTTTAGCATATATTGCTTTTTCAAAAATTTTGCTAAAGTTTGACAGTAGAGAAATAGGCCTATAATTTTTTAGCTCATTTAGGTCTCCTTTTTTGTGAATCGGCTTTAATAAAGCGGTTTTTAGATTAGATGGAAAAATACCTTGTTGCATAGATAGATTAATGATGTACACTAACGGTTCACATAGAATATCAGCTGCTGCTTTAATTATAGAAATTGGGACTTCATCGTACCCTGTTGATTTTTTGTTTTTAAGATTTTTAATAATTGTAATTACCTCCCGAGTTGATACTGGCTGAAAGACCATGCCGGCCATAGGCATGGGGTTATTGTTCGAGAGCATGAGCTGGCTACTCATTCGCGCCACATCCGGACACACATTTAAGAAAAAATCATTGGCATCGTTAAGGAACTGCAACTCACTTTGATAATTAAAATGTTCAAAAATTGTTCTATTGCTGTTTAAATTTTTCCCCGTTACCTTTTTAATAAGACTCCAAGTTGCCTTGGTTTTATTGTCTGAATTTTGAATATAATTTTCATTACTTGCTCTTATTGCCTGTCGTATAACTTGTTTTAGAATATTAGAGTAATTCTTGTAGTATTGTTTAGAAATATCCCCTTTTTTTACCTTTTCAAATAATAGTCTTTTGTTCTTACTGGATGTTTTTATACCAGTTGTGATCCACCACTGAGAAGGACTGGCCTTTTGTTTTCTTTTCCTGATAGGAAATATGCGATTTATTTTTTCTGCTAATGTTAGTTCAAAGTGAGAAAAGGCAGTATCAACTTCAGTCTCTGAAAAAACTGTGTCCCAGTTACATTCACTGAGTTCTTCACAAAATCTAATTATATTGTTTTCTGAGAAGACTCTACCTATTTTAAGTTTATTTTGGTGTTCGTTTATAGTTGGTTCTATTAGAGGTATTGTAATGGTTTGTGAACAATGATCACTTATCACAGTCTTGATGACTCTATTGTTATTAAATTCGGTGAAATTTGGGAAAAAGTGATCGATGCAAGATACTTTATCGGCATAGTCTCCCTGAGGGGGTCTTGTAATATCAAAAATGGTTTGTTCATAGTTGTATGAAGAGAGCAAATCAAGGAATTTATTTTTATTTTTATCGTTACTTACTGTTGGGGATAGATTTACGTTAAAATCACCTGACCATATTACTCTGTAGTTAGCAAAACGCGAGCTGACCTCCCTGGTCCCTATTAAATGTTTTGAGCTTTGACTTTTGACTTTGATTGTTGTTCTATGACAAATGAAATGTTTATTCACCATTACAAAACTGAATTCAGAATCTGAGAATAATGAAAATTTTAAGGTGACATTCAAAAATCTGATCCAAGAGGACAACTTTAACAAATTTTATTAGAGTGACAATATCTCGGAAACCATCGATTTTTCCCTAAGGTCATATTATGTTTTTCTCTCGGTATTTCTGGATGCTAATGAGTTGCTTCATCAGCCCTTTCAATATTATCGTTGATTTTCCGGACACCCTGTATATACCTATGTATCTTAACAGTTTTGATTTTGAAAACTTGTTAAGTGACTCCAATCTTGATTTAAATGTGAAAGTTCTCTATGATTGTATAAATGATGCAGTGAACTTATTTATTCCTAGAAGTAGCTTGAAGTCTCCAGAGTTTCCAAAATGGTTCAGTGACCAATTCAAAACATCTGTATTTGAAAAAAAAATTGCACACAAAAAGGAAAAGCTATCTGGTTTGCAAGAGGATTATACTAAATCTCCAGTTTATGAAACAACTGTAAAACACTATCACAGGAAAGTTATTCTCAGTATATTGGAGAAGTTTAGTCATTATTCAGCAATAGCAACAAAGATTTCTGGAAATATGTCAACTCTAAGGGGCAAGCTTACCAGTTACCCAATGTAATGAGTTATAACAATATTGTTTCTGAATGAATATGATATTCGAATCAATAATTTCAGACAAGATAACTCCGCTTTTCAAAAATATTATAGTTCCTGAGCAGCATGGGCCATGGCTTCTGCAAAGAAAGACCAACTGTCACAAATATGCTAGTTTATATGTCTATGCTTTATACTGACACATTGTTGGACTCTTTGGAGAGTGGTTATCAGGTGGAAGCCATTTACACTGACTTTTCAAAGGCGTTTGACAGAGTGAATCACATTTTAATTGCAAAGTTGGGTTGTCTTGGTATTTATGGTCCTGATAGAAAGCAAATCGTTAGGTATAATAATTACTTTTCCAACAACATAATTGTAAGTTCTGGCGTGCCTCAGGGTGGACATTTAGCACCATTGTTTTTCAACTGTTGCATTAATGATTTAGTTAGAAGATTTACGTAATTTCCCAAAACTAATTCGATATTGCGTTCTAGAAATCTTAGACGTAATTTCGTCAAAATGTGAACACCATCTCTGTATAACACAAAAATGACTATCCAGATTTGCATGGAACCATTCTGGTATATCGTAATTTTCATTCGAGATTTTATTTTTACTGAACGCAGTTTTTATTTGCATGGCCTTCAATAACCTGGTATTGCCATCTGAAGGGAAACCAACTACATATTTTGATATTAAATTTAGAGGTTTCAGATAAAATCTTTTCCCATCTTGAAATTACGTCTTTATTTGTAAATCTATTATTCGTCGCAAATAGTGACAAGCGAAACGGGGGTGAGGGTTGAGCTACAATAACATAACCATATTGGGCACTGTTGTAATTTCTAAAAAAGGATTCAATTTGTTTGGCATTAATTGCAGTTTTTTAATTCGATCTCAATTTCAGTACTACTTTTGACACAGAATAAGCGACAGGCATTTCTGCATGTGTTTTATTTAAAAAAAACCATGTTTTCGAATTTTTTGTTTGTTGTATAAGTAACTCTGTTTGTCATTTAGTGTAAAATCGTCTTCGTCATTATCCAAAAAATATTTTAAAAGTTTCAAAATGTAAAAACATCTGTGGTAAGTGCTTTCTTTTTGCGTCTTAAAACGTTTTTTGATTTCCCCTTCTTTTTTTATATATTTTTAGTTTTTACAATTTTGACTTTGCAATTTCGGAAGATGGAGTTACCTAAAAGAAAATTCCGAAACGTAAAAAAAAAAAATTGTTTCATTTTCAACCTGACTGACTCCCAATAAAACCTTCACTATTTATGTATTTCATTACAGATACACTGATATGCTTATCCCATATAAGATATCTATCAATCAAGACTCCAAGATATTTGATTTCATTCATTACTTTGATTTTGATATTATACTGACAGTTTTTAAACCTACACGAACATTAAATTAAGTGACTGAAATTTATTTAAAGTTGGACTTGCTGGCATTTAAAGTGAAAAAGTTTTTGTCAAACCAAGCCTTAATACTCTTCAATGAACCTTCATCATTCCGTCTAACTTCAGCCCAGTTCTTGACTGCAGTGTCATCCGCAAAAAACATCACGTCACCCTGTTCCGGAGGCAAAGGACTCAACAGTTCATTGACATATATAGAAAATAAGACCGTACCTAGCACCGAACCCTGTGGCACACCGAAATCCACCTTTTTGTTCAAACCGACAATATTTTTAATTTTATTACTATGCGTTATATCTTCCAAATATGACCGAAATAACTGAAGTACAATTCCTCTAATGCCTGCTTTTTCCAGTTTTTTTAATAACATTCGGTGTGTCACAGTGTCAAATGCCTTGGTCAGGTCCAGGAATACTCCCACGCATCGCTTAATCTCAATAAAGAACTGATAGATCAGATCCGTCACACAAACGACAGCATCTTCAGTACTTACATTTTGCCGAAATCCAAACAGTCGATGCGATATAATTTTATTTTTCGTTAAAAAACTTTCAAGTCTCAATTTAATGCATTTCTCAATGAGCTTTGAAATGTTGCTTGTCAATGCTTATGGCCTATAGTCACTAATCGAGTTACTATTTTCCTATCACCAGCCTTGTAACCTGGAGTTACGATTGCATGTTTAAAACATTTCGGAAATTGCCCCAGTCTCAAAAATTAGATTTATAAGATAAATAAGTAGTCTAGCCAGATAGTTATGAAAATCTTTTGCAATTTTTACTGTGATTCCGTCCTGCCCAGGGGCAGCATTATTTTTTAGAGAATTTATTTCAATAATCAGTTCATTTTCAGAAATTGGTTTTAGGAATAGGGTTTTACTTTCATTTACCTTTTCCACATTAAATTGTACATCATATACTTCAATTTTATCAGTCAATGTTGTCCCTATCTCACAAAAATAATTATTAAAAACCTCTACCATCTCTTATTCTGTACTGATTTCCCTATTTTTCTCATCCATCACTGACTGAACATTGGTATGCCCTTTCGATTCTTCGTTTGTAGCTTCTCTGATATATTTCCAAGTGTCACAGACAATAGTTGTTGGCCTATAGTAGATCCACCCTGACCACCCTTATAAACAGGAATCAGCTTGCCGCATTTCCACCTATCTGGAAACACTGACGTGCCAAGAATTAAATTGAACAGCATATACAGGAGATAAATAAATGACTCACAGCAACCTTTATATACAGGTATGGCAAGTCAGCATTCTACGGGCCAGTTTCAATGCAATAGAATGAAATGTCTAGAAAAATTTGATGTTAAATAGAGAACGAAAACGATTCCCCCTGTTCCACCTCCAGAATGGAACGCTGGGAATGCTGAAGGTGGAACAGGGGAAATCGTTTTCGTTTTCTATTTCTCCTTATACTTTCTCTAGCCATTTCATTCTGTTGCATTAAATTTGGCCTGTAAGATGTTCACTTGCCAGACCGGTATATGATGGGACTCCATCAGGCCACTGACTTATCTCCCTTCAAGTTTTCAACTGCCATTTTTATATCACTAGACGAAATAACAAATATAAGATTTTGACTCACGAATCTGCGGTATCTCCGCTGATTTGATGTAGTTAGCAAAACCATTTGAAACTTGCTGGACACCATGATAAATACCATCGCCCAAAGTCATCTCATCCATGACATCCAGACCATTCTTTAAATTATCAATAAAAGCCCAAAAGTTATTGGAATTAGATTCAAGACACTTTTCAATATTCTTCAAATATACAGTATGTGCTTCTTTGAGTTCAACTTTAAGTGATCTCCTTGTATTACTGAATCTAATTTTCCAAAATTGTGATTTAAACTTAGGATAGTTTCACAAAAGTATCTGTGCTTTTGCTTTATAAGTGAGACTATGTCCCTAATAAACCATACCGGATACTTCTTACTTTTCTGTGTAGATTCAGGAACTGAATTCTCGCTCGAAGATAATATATAAAACATTGTAAAAGCTGTCCAACGCAAAGTTAACGTCCAACAAATGGTCTAGAAATTGCCAATATTGAGACTGAAAATGATTATGATGTATTCTCAAACGGAGTGATAACAACATGCAAACATGCAAAATATATCGTAGTAGTTACTTAGTTTTTTAAAGATACTGGGATGGCAAGAATCAAATATTATTTTCTTGTTACTTCAATTATTAGTAATTACACTACAATGTCAAGAAAAAATAATAGTTTTGTGACTATATTTCATTTACATTCAATTAATAATGTTGATTAATAACGCACATTTATTTAAAAATATATTAAAGCATATCTTATAAATATTCAACATTTTATATTGAGGATGTTTGAGCACAAGTAACAAAAATAAATAGTACATCATAATTTACTAAAACAATCAGTAACCTACAAAATTAGCAGCCTTAAAAAACATTTTTCCTATCATCTTCCCAACTATCATCGCTCATACTTTGCAAATGTCTTTTATAATAATTCACTTTCTTTTTTCCCAAAGTTTCTGCTACAAATGTTTTTATATTACGCGTTTTTTCATTGAACAATGGTGGTTTCAGACTATCATGGTAATTGAATGTCTTCTTTTTTCTTTGAGACCACCTAAATATTAATAAAATAGTTACAAAAACGGTCATTGATAAAACAAATATCACTAAGCTAGCTATAATAGCTGACTTAACTCCAGAAGATATGTTCACTACTTTTTGTGGGTGTTCATCTATAATTTGAAGATGTTCACTTGAAGCTGAAGAATATAGTTTTTGCTCTAAATCTTCTAGTCTTTGAATATCTTCTTCTGTTAAAATATCAGCAGTTTCCATTATAGAGGTTTCACTCAAATCTGGCTTTGAAGTTGTTTTTTCTTGGCTCCCATTGAGTTCTGGATAAAATCTTTGCCAAGGATATTCCTCTTTCTTTATTTCAATTTTGAAACTTGGATAAGCTGTCACAGATAAATTATGTTCCACTGGTTTGCTTGTCGTTGTAGTAGTATCTTCTTTATCTAACAAAACTTTGGGTTTTCTAGCAAACACAGGGAAATTTGTCAAAAGTTCTGAGCTAATAATATTTCCTTCTAGAGCATCATCTGAAGGCTCTGGCTCTTTAGTTTTATTATGAAAAATATCAGCTAAATGTAATTGGCTAGATCCTCGTTCTCTTTGTTCAATTAATTCTTGGATAGTCATATTTCTGGCTTCAAGGATTCTTGATAAACCTGCTCTGCCTTTGGGATCATTAAGGACTTGCAAAATTTCATCTTTTGCGCTAAACGGGCGAAGTTTCGGAATTTCTTTTGTTGTTAGAGGTTTAGTGGTTGTAGATGTGGTTGAACTGGACATGTCAGATATAGATTCTAGGTCTATGCTCATGCGTAGAGGGCCATCCAAGATTTTATCTTCAACTTGATTGTCATGATTTTTAAAACCAAATATATCCTTTAAATTAATTTTCAAAGGTTTTACACTGCTCGTTTTTGGATAGTTCTCCTCTTCTACTGTAACAGTCTCTGTGGAAGAAGATATAGCAGGTTTTTTTGTAATTGCTTTCATCAGTTTAGCACTGGTTAATGGCAAATTGCTCTTTGTTTTACTGATGCCCCATTTGGAAAGTTTATTAGCCACTTTAGGGGTTGTTGTAGTTGTGGTGGTTGTTGGGGTAGTTGTTTCAGCTATTGGAACATCAGTTTGAATGTAAGATTCCGTAATAATATCTTCCCAATCCGGCTTATAGTTTACAGCAGTGTAGAGTTTGGGATGAGAAGGAACAAAAATTCGTTTTTCAGTTATTGGTTCAGTAATAACTTCAAACCTGGAAATAAATATTGAGTAAAATTTTAATTTTAGCTTAAATAGAAAAGTTTACCTTGTTACTTCAGAGAATTTTCCATTATTTGTAATTCCCTTGCTGTTGTGGCCTTGCAGCAAAGCCAAACGCCTTCTCTGAGCTTCTTCCATCTCCTTGTCACTTAAAACATCATAAAAAGCACCATATTGCTCATACCTTCTATTTATTGTATCTTTTCTTAAAGCTATAGATGGCGGAAGTCTTTGGTATTTTGGGTTTTCAAAATTATCAGCTGTAGGTGTTAAAGCTGTTGTAGTAGATTTGGAAACGATTGTTCCTGTAGAAGTTACTGTTAAGGCTTTAATAGCTTCTTGTTTTCCAGTAAGCAACTCCGCTAAAGTTATATTTTTCTTTTGCAGTATCTCACTGAGACTCAGACCGCCATTTTGTTTTAAAATTTCTTTGAGATTTGGTGGTTTTCTGGTTGTAGTTAAAACATAGGAAATATCTTCGTTGTCAGTATCTAGTCCTTTTTCAGAATATTTTTCTGCATCTTGATCAGAGTTTGCAGAAGGGCCAAATTGAATCGTGGCTCTCATCGGGTTGAAGTCTTCTCTTGTTAGGATCGTAGGCTCTTCTGAGGTTTGATATGAGGGAGTCACCTGCAAAAATTAGCACCGTAAAAATTTTATTTCTAGAAGCCTGAAAAGGGGTAGGTACCTTTCGTCTGATGTATGGCCTGACGCTTTCTTCTTGTAATTCGTCCCAAGGATCGCCAGCATTCGGTCTTTTCCTTCTTCTAATTATTGTGTGTTCACTGTTATCCGTTTCATATTTGATGTTTTCTGTTGTGCTACTTGCTTCTTTGGATTGATCTGGAAAAAAAATAAAAGTTATATGAAAGGCCCAAACCCCTAATGCCAGAATTTGTCAGGATGTATTTGGGGGTCCAGTTATTTTAATGTTAAATTCACTCCAAGTTGGAAGTAAGAAAAATGTTTTGGAGGGAAGTTTTCGAGAATATTCCAAGGCATTCGAGGGTATTGAATAAAGTGGGTGCTTCTATTTAGGATTTTAAAAGTGAGGATACGGTAATAGGAGAAAAATGTTGGTTTGGAAAGGAATAAAAGAAATATACATACGTATATCTTGCTGGAAATCCTGTGGGATTTGAGCAACAACACTATCAGAACTCTGATCCAAGTAACTGACAATTGGTGGTCGTCTTTTTCTTTTCCGCAATCTTCTTCGTTTTGTGGTTACTACTTGGCCGTCTACTGGATCGCGTGGTATCCACCCTGTTGCTCCTCCTGGAATAGTTTGAACTGCATGCCATATCTGGAAAAATTGTATTTATCAGTAACTTTTAAAATAACTATAGGTAACAAAACGGAAACAGATTGGTTAAGTCGAAAATATGATTACTGGGGCCACTGAAGGTAAAGCCTCAAAAATGTGAGTGACTGAATAAAGCTTACTTTTCATGCATCCGTTTCTCCATCAATCCGGAAGTATTCCTATTGGTATATTTTGGCGCCAAAATATTGGACCAATAGGAATTATTCCGGATTATCGGATTGACGGAAAAACGGATGCATGAAAAGTAACCCTAAGGCAAATGCACTAATATACTCGTTCCAAATGGCATTTGAAAATTGCTGGAGAGCTGCATAATGTGATGGGATGGATATTTTTTTCACTTTTATATGCCGAAGTCTGAAGAATATTAATCTAAGAGTCCAATCTTATCAAACTGGTGCTCAGTTTTGTCATGGATCCAACCACAGACGCGTTTCGGTGTTCTTGCACCAAGTCGGGTATCAGTACACCTCTCGGTACACCTAGAATCAACTTGGTCAAAGGTTGGCATGGAACTATCCTACCAGATAGGAGTAATTTTCCAAGATTTCAGATTTTTACTAAATATATGGTTCGTGGAGGGGGAATGCCAGAAAAATTATGGTTAGCTTCTCTGCGATTATTTTTTTCAAGCGTTTGCATATGGTTCTGGTAAGGCTACTTGGTCTATAGTTTTCTGGTTCCTTAAATTAACACAACGGAAATAGCACACATCAGAAAAACTAGAGTACTAAATTCGGGCCTATTTAGTGCTAATTTAGTACGAAAAAAAAAATTATAACTCTATTTTTAAAAAAATTACGTGCATGTGTGCCAGCTTAAAATTAAGCTGGCACACTCTAGTTGGATAAGGTCGAATCTTTGAAAATCTATTGTACCTCATATTTAGTGCTAATTAGGTACATTCATGGCACGCCTAAAAAACTAACAATGATGTATTTATTATGAAATAACCACGGAAAAGTGCTAACTTAAGACTTGAATTAGCACACATACATCGAATCGACCGCGGGAGAACGGAATTCGCATGTGCGTATTTAGTGCTAATTTAGTACTTCAAAAACGACGACCCGAAACGAATTAGTATCACATCAGCACAGAGTTAGCACTTGTGTGCTGGCTTAGTGTTTAAGTTAACAAACATTATATTATAACCGATGACGCGATGAAACTAGAGTACTAAATTAGCACACATTTAGTGCTAATTTTAGACGTTTGTTTCGGTTAGTTCGGGTTATTTTGGGTTAGTTTGGGTTAGCTCTGTGCTGATGTGATACTAGTTCGTTTCAGGTCGTCGTTTTTGAAGTACTAAATTAGCACTAAATAATAATATGTGCATGCAAATTCCGTTCTCGCGCGGTCGATTTGATGTATGTGTGCTAATTCAAGTCTTAAGTTAGCACTTTTCCGTGGTTATTTCGTAATAAACACATCATTGTTGGTTTTTTAGGCGTGCCATGAATGTACCAAATTAGCACTAAATATGAGGTTCTAGATTTTCAAATATTCGACCTTATCCAACTAGAGTGTGCCAGCTTAATCTTAAGCTGGCACACATGCACGTAATTTTTTAAAAAATAGAGTTATAAATTATTTTTTTTCGTACTAAATTAGCACTAAATAGGCCCGAATTTAGTACTCTAGTTTTTCTGATGTGTGCCATTTTCGTTGTGCTAATTTTTTAGACCTGTAGTTTTCTGCTACTTGTTCGTTTCCCACATTTGCTTTCTTCCAGCTCTCAATAAAATATCCAGTGCCAACGATACTCTTCATTACTTTAATATGATAATGGCTGGAACAGTGTCTTCCTACACTACATCGGGATAGAAAGATCGCTGGTATGGTCTATAATCTATAACTTCTATAATATGGTATTAATTTATGAATCCATTCGAAAAAATAGTTCATGGCTCAAAGGGACCTGTGTTCAATTATTCAATATGAAGAAAAACACCGTCGTAGTTTCAAAATTTTTAATAATATAAAGGTTACATGTTTCGCCCAATAATGGGCATCATCAGACCTATAAAAAGAAAACCTCTTACACTTAGATCAAACATAGTACAGAAACAAATACCTTCAACTGAACTGTCATATAGCGAATTCCATTGGAAGGGTTAGTGCGCACTGAGTGTATTCGCATCTTTTTCTACCAGCTTGTATAAAAAGAGACCAGAGTGACAGGGAACCAAAAATCGCACATAACCTAAACTACAATTCCAAGTAGGAGGTCATGCGCAAGTTGTTCGGAGCTGGTGGGCAATCTCAAGAATCCCGAGTGAGTACGTTAACCAAAGCTTCATGGTAATTTAAAAAAGAAGTAGAACAAGAAAACGCAAGCAGAAGAGGAGAAGAACGTGACATCTGTCAAGAGATAGAGAGACATAAAGCAAATGTTTTTGGAAAACAAATAATCCCTAACCCTGATGAATGCCCTATGACCGGTCGTCCTTTGGATGCGTTTTCGTCCGAACTGCATTCGCCCAGAAAACGGACAAATAATTTCGTCAGATTTCGCATACGTAATATCGTCCACTGGACAAGTTTTTGCATTGCGAAGTCAGTCTTTAAGTAGTGAAGTAATATGGAGGATTGTCTTTTGGAAAATAATTATCTTGTTGGATGGCGATTAAAAAAGTGCTGGGCTAGGTAATGATATTTTAGCAAAACGAAAACAATTCGGAGAATTTCAACTCAATTTAACTGCCACAATTTTTGTCTGCATGCTCATGTGATATGATTCGTCGGTCATCAATTTTTCGATAACCATATCTTCTCAGCAACACAGTCAACACAGACAAATCGTCATGACTACTGCGAAAAATCACATTTTTTTCGGATCAATCTCAATCGCATGTTTTCGTCCGAATTCGCACGAATAATTACGGGTGTATGACCGTCATTAGGTTTCTCTGAAATGGGATCATTCGCACTTTTTCGTCCGATTCCTGAGGAATGCAATTCGGACGAAAACGCATCTAAAGGACGACCGGCCTTTGTGAAAATAGTATTCTTAAAATTATGTTGCTAAAAATTAAATTGGGTTCAAAATTGAACACATCGTTCACACAGGTCAGAGTCAGGACAGGGCTCTTCTTGGCTCTAGTTATTTCCATTTTCTCGACTCCAATTTTCTTTCATTATCACATTGATGAAAAACTTTAAGGTTTTCAGGAATGCAAGTGTTGTGTCCTGCGGTCAACAAGCTTATTGGATCCAATATTCCACACCAAACAGATATCGTCCACATATCTCTTATACGCAAGTTGTTCTAAATTGTACATGAAAACTTCGCTTAAAAACTGTGACAGTGGCGGATCCAGGATTTTCTTCAGGGGGGCGCAGGTTTAGAATCATCAACAATGATTTTTTGAAAATTTATTTTCACTTTACTTATACGTTAAAGAATGTAGGAGGTACAGGGTGGTCCAATTTGGACACTTTTGATATGACACGTCAATTTCTGAGCCAGATATAAAAAAATGAACCCCCCCTCTGAGGCTGAAATTTCATGAAATCTTAATTGCTGCAAACACTGCAAACCGCCTTTTGATACCCTCAACCGTTTTGCCATCTATAGAGGATGTTTCTCGATTTTGAGCAATAAGGTGAAACCTTCCTAACTTTTTTATTTATGAGAATAATTGATTTCTATGTAAACTTCTTGGGGGTACTTTTTTAAGCAGAATTCAATGACGTACTCAATTTTTTATTTTCGTCTTATTTTTTTAATAAAAAAAACCCTATAGGTATATTACCTAGTAACTCATTGATAGCTCTATTATTGCTTATTTTAAAGGTCCATCTCTAGCAGTTTTCTCAAAAAAAAATTATAGATATTTTAATCAAAAGAAACAATGTGTTAGGAGACCTTTCTCATTTTCCTTATAGATATAAATTCGTCGTATCCGGTGTCCCATCAAAACAATCGGACTTTGGTTATCCTAATAACACCGATCTGCCAGAAACATCCCATTTATTTCCTTATGTTTCCGACATAAATGGTACATCGCTACGATGTTTCTAATGCAAGATCTCTAGGATGATTGTCCTGAAATGTTTTAGAAACATCCTTTCAAAAATAGGTACCTATCTATCGACAAAAGATTTTTTGGTTCTCAAAATTAGATAGGTACCTACACCTAAAAAATTAATTTTATTTTATTTTCTACCTACCTAATTATAGATCTATAATACCTAGGAAACGGAATACGTTACCATACCTATAACAACCTGAGGGCATTATAAGCCCAGCGGACGGTATGGTATGATCTATAACGCCTGCTTATAATGCCCTGAGGTGTTTTTGTTGTTGTTTTATTGATTTGCACTTTACCCTAGGCAGCCACTAAATTGGTGAAAGAACCTTGTGTTGAGTAGAAAATAAAGCATTGTATGCACCACGGGGATTTTTAGATTATAATGCCCTTCAGGCGGAATATATCCCTCGGGCCAGAGGCCCCCGGACTAGTTTTGCCTTCGGGCATTATAATCTACATAATCCCCTTGGTACATAAATAGCTATTACAAAACTAGGTAGGACCACTGGTAGGACCCAGGTATTAAATTTGCCAATTTTGTATGGTTTCTACAAACGTCTCTATCACACACACACAAACTAATTTGAAATTCTAATATCTCGAATTCGGGAACAAATAGAAAAAAAACCGAGAAAGTCACTGGATTCTCGCCACAAAACGGATCAAGATATCATAAAATTTGAGCCTCAGAATGGGGGTTGATTTTTTTGAATCTCGCTAAGAAATTGACGTTTTCTATTAAAAGTTTCCCGAGAAATGTCCAAACAACCCTGCACATATCAAAAAACCGAAAATAACAAATAAAAAAATAAAAATTTATCTGATAAAAACAAAACGATACCTAAATTAAATAAAAGTGTAGCTTGGAAAATTTTCACATACTTAACATTTTATTGGAAAATTTTTCTATGAACTTTTATGAAAAATTCTTTTATAAAA